ATATATATTCAGCGCGCCTGCTTATGTCCAAGGTCCGACCATTCTTAAAGTAACCATCACAATCCCGGTTGATAAGGGCACAGCTATATGAGACCAACATGTCCCGGCCTGCTCCGAGCACAGCAAGCACGCTAACGGAGAATCACAGGCTCGGATCAGATAAAATTCTCAAAATGTGGGTCCATAAAACTAGTAGCTATTAACGAAGAGCCGGAAGCGAAGCCCGAACGTAATTAAAAAACCAAAAAGCGGGACGTCCTTTGTCGTGGCGGGTCCTTCTCGAGCTCCGACCAGTGGAGACTGAGAGCTGAGATGAAGGGATTCGGTCAGGGCTTGTCGGGGTAGCATCCCTCATGTACGATGTTGCACACTGCACGCAGGCCCTGTCCTATGTGATACATCAAGTTATAGGGCATAGAGGTCTTTGTATAGCTCTGTTCATGTTGCATCACGAAGCAAGAGTGCTATTTTAAATCGGAAATCGGCTTTTCGAGCCAACATCGTCCCGACATATCTTGAAGGTTCCACTACTGCCATGTACTATTCTATTAGAGTGGATCAAATTACTGTAATTCCGGAAATTAATTAATTACTATCGCCACTCGCTTCCACCCCCGCATAGCTTCAACACCCTGTAGATATTCACAGTAGAGTACAGTCTCGTTATTCTTCTTTATCGGCTCGCTTGGCGGCATCGTATGAAATAGTCAAGATTCCTTTACAAAAAAGCCACGGCAAGGCATCCAGCAAGCACACTAAGCAGCAGTCCATCGTGGGAAATAGTAGAAGCAGCTCCAGGGAATAAGCTGACACTCGGCGAAGCACCGCCAGTCTATGAGAAGCGAGTTAGTAGGGTACCACGTACTAGCTCGGCAAAAAAGAAAACGACGAAAATCTTACCGCGTTCTGAGAGGGCGTCGCAGAGGACACCACGGTAGATGCAGCGGGTGTCGAGCTAACCGCACCGCTAGAGCTAGGCGCAACGCTAGAAGCAGCAGAGGTTGCACCCTGGGTTGCAGCAGTGTCAGTCGACGGGGAAGACGGGGATAAAGTGTCTGAGTTTCCGGTTTCAGTGGCGCTGGCGCTAGCAGCGGCCGTAGTTGTAGTGGAGGACGCTTCGACAGGGGTGGCGTCCACACCACATCCAGTAGCAGCCTTGGAAACGGACGAGCCGTAATACTTCCAGATGTCGTACTTGAGGGCACAATTGAGACAGTCAGATAACTCAGTTTTGAAGGTGTCGGTATCGCAGTAGCCCTCTTTACGAGCAGCGGTAATTACTCCCCCTGGTTGGATTAGTTCATGGCTACAGGATACTTTCAATCCATAAAAAAAGCAGAACTCACCGCAGTTTGCGTGGCACTCGTACTCGGGAGTGCCGGGGTCCTGGCGACGGTGCAATGGGACAAAGTCTGGGTATTGGAACGCACTGGCGCTAACAGCCATGCAGGCGAGAGTGACGAGAGTAGGAAGATGCATGGTTGGTTTGGCGAATGAACGAGGGACGCACGAAAAGAGTGGCAAGTGCTAAGTAATTGAAAAGGCTAAAGATGGATGGTGGGCAAAGATAGTGAGGGACTGGGAAGTTTAGCGCCTACTTATACATCCTTCTCCCTGCGAAGAAGGTAGAATCACATTCCGGTTGCGCTCCTTTCCGTGATGGAACAGTATCGTATCCAAAGTACACAAACGAACAGGAAAAACAAAAGAGAACGAAAATGTCGTACGACCGTTCGGGGCCTCAAGACCCCTCGGGTCCGATTCCCAGTCCTGGAATAGTGTCTCACTGGAGCCACGGAATATGCCGACAGGGTAATAAGAGGAGAGATGTGGAAAGGACCCTCTAAGACCCTGCGTTGGACTAATCAGAAGTTATTCGTGGTAAAAACGATGTAACTCCAAGAGCGCTAGAAAAATTAATGAGCCCGGGCCCCACCCACCATCTTATCTGATTGATCTTATCTGATCCAATCCGGCCTTCGCTTGCGCCTGGCACGCTTTGTTTACAGGATCATTAATCTATTTTTTTCTTGGCGACTTGGGCGAAACTAATTTTCGCGTAATGGCCATGACTCCCAGGTATCATTCCACCACGGACAGCCATGCCAGAGTTTCCGGTGAATGAATTCTCGGCTGCAAAATGCCGGAGACCTGAGCGGGGCTTTCATCAAATGAACTCGTTCCTTGGCGGGTGGACACACATGGCATTGTGACACATGCAGGTTGGGCCGTTTATCGGATCTCCGAGATTTGCAAGAGTGGATGGCAGTGAGTCGACTGCTGCAGGCTTATAAGTAGCGCGGTTATGAACGTCCCTGTCCTCTTCCCGAAGAACTCCATACCCTCCCAGTCAACTTCCAAGGCTCTGGAAAGCTTCAGCAGGTGTCCCCCAACATGATCATGAAGAGTAGCTTTGTGCCTCTTGTGGCCTTGTCCTCCGCCATTGGCGCATGGGCCCATGGCGAAGACGCAGCCAAAGATATGGGCCCTGTGGCTTTCATGTGGCCGCCAGATCGTACCTGGGGCGCCGCCTATGATAACACGGCTCCGTGTGGCTCGTCCTCTGGCGCCACGAACCGAACCGACTTCCCTATGGGTGAGTCCCCTTTGAGCACCAAGATATTGACCAGGTTGCTAATGAGTGTGCGTGCTTCAAGTCAATGGTCAACTCGCACTCGTCATCCAAGACGAATCGTGGAACGTTCAGATCGCAATCTCTCACAAAAGCGGTATGTCACACATCCCGCCTCCTGAGTATACAGGTCATCCAAGCTAATTCTTATTCAGACCCTAGCACCAATGATGACTTCGAGTCATTCATTGACGGATCACGCATCAAGGACATCGAGCCAGGCCACGAATGCTATCCCGTCCCCAACCCCTCCATCGATGTCGAAGAAGGAATGAACGCTACCTTCCAAATCAAGTACACCTCAGACTTTGAAACTGACAAGAATGAAACCTACTATGCCTGCGCCGATGTTAGATACGTCGCTGCCAGCAAGTTCACAACTCAAGTGCCTTGTTTCAACGTCACAGCGGATGAGTTCACCGCTGTCACAAGTACCACGGCTACCGCTGGTGCCACTGCCACTGCCGGATCATCTAGCTCGTCCTCCAAGGACTCGAGTACAAAGGAGTCAAGCTCGGGTCTTTCTGGAGGCGCTATCGCTGGTATCGTGGTTGGTTGTGTGGCAGCTGTGGCGATTGCCCTTGCAGTTCTGTTCGGATATAGAAGGTTCTTGCAGAAGTATCGCTCTTATCGTCAGAAGGCGTCTGTTAGGAACGTGGATTGGGCCGAGACTGCTACTGTTAATCCAAAGGTGGATGACGAGGGTCTTCGGAAGATTCGATAGATCTGGTGTAGACATGGGCTGTCCTTCTTGTGGGTAGGGGGTTGGGGTAGACCTTTTGGAAGGAGATTCCCCTGATGACTTCTATACGATGTGATATGAATGGTTGAATGACACCCTTATTATGTTACTTTTCTTCTCCAGTACCTCGAGGTACCATGGGTTGAATGAGTTGTGCGATAGTTGCTTGATGAACATCAGAATAATAACACTCTTTTCTTAATTCAATAAAACAGGGCACCAACTTGGGGGAAATATAGTAGTATACTTGGCTGATCCATGACAGCTAACTGGTCGGCTATTTTTCCCAGCCTCCTGTCTCCGTCCCAAGCATTCCTCAACCAACTGGAGGGTAAGCAGTAGTGTTTATGTGGACGATATGCGGGTGTCACGTTACCGGGTTATTTCCGCGGGTCGGTCGGAATGCAACCTTTTGTCAACCCGCAATAGCCGCTCCCACGTAGTAATCACGAGAAAACTCTGCCAATTCGTCTTATCTAAGAGTACAGGGCCTACACCGGGGGAGGGATCATAGGAGATACATCATCTGAACTTCTATACTCGATATGGTAGCCATCGGCCGTGGGAGGTGGAGCCCATCGCATCATAGATCGGCCAGTATAGTACTTTATATTAGTATGGGGTACATGAAAGGAGGCTCCTGGTGGATGTTTCTGGGAGCTTACGTAGATCCCTGTCTTGTTATGACGTCCTACGCATATATTTATACTCCACGAGGCATTTAATTAGCATCTGGGGAACGAATAGTGAGGGAGTTCGTAGGTAAGGGTTCGGGAGATGGTTTTGGCTAAACTGTAGGCTGGCCTGGGGACTAAAGAATGGAATATTCGGAGTATAGGGGATCACTGGATCAGCCGCATGACTTTGATTAAGAATATGGAGAGAAACCCCGCTTTTATGCGAGTTGAGGTTAATTCAGGTAAATCTTACCAGTATTGGGCTTGACAGCTTTTCTGCCCCTATGCACTATTTCGTGATCCTTGTATTTCGCCTCACTATTTTTTCCTTTTCCCTGTCTTTCTTCTCCCCCTTATCATCCACACCATTCTGTCCGCAAGAATGCCAAAATCACGACAGACCAACGATAACGCATCAAGACTCGATGGGCATGACAGAGTGAATCGGTCGAAACGTGGTTTGACATGCGCCAACTGCCGGGTGAGAAAGGTTGGTTCGATCCTTAATCGACATTCTCATCACCTGTCGCTCACCTCATGCAGACAAGATGCGATGGCACACAGCCGGGATGCAAGACCTGCGAGGTCTATGGCGTGGAGTGTCGCTATGAAAAGGCCCCACCCATGTCGCAGATCCTTGCCATGGCCAAGAGGTTACAAGAGACTGAGCAAACCATCGCCGAGCTGCGTGTCGCGTTGCACGAGGCAAGAGAGGCAAACTTGGCTCAGCATACATTTCCAATCGAGCGGCATATCCCCAATTCACCCTCAGTCGATACCAGTTTTGATAACGCTTCTCACGCCGAGGCGAGCTCGACTACACAGGTGGCTTCTGAATCCGACACGGCGCCGGAGTCGGTGTTACTTTCGGATCTCAGTCTCGATGAAAATGGAAAGGTACGGAAGTCTCCCATGCAGAAAGCCCCTTGTATGTCCATTGACCGGGTAGCTATTTGGATAGCTTTGCTACTATGGTCCTACATCCGCCGTCCACGCGCCACCACCGGCAGAATCAACAAACGTAAATGACTCACATTCGTCCATGTCCGACGCCCGGTCACTGCTCACTTCAGCTGCTCTCGAGTCGAGAACCTGGGAGGAATTCGCCTTAGGAAATGCGGCGATTCAAACCGACATCCCTCGGCAGATGATATCGAAACTCCTTCAAATCCATTGGACGTGGATTGCGCCGATGTTCAACTGGGTCTATCGCCCAGCGTTCATGCGTGAGCCACAAAATTACTCCTTTGCAGAAAGCGAGTCTAACTTAACTCTATTGCAGGAGATATGGCTATCAGTGGACCATGCTATTCTCCCTTTCTAGTCGTTGTCATGTGTGCTCACGCGGCACGATTTGACGATCACCAAATAAGCGAACTCTTGATCTCAAGAGCACGTCTTCTCCTGGGCACCGAAATACATAATCCCAGCAGCATTCCCACTGCTCAGGGTCTCCTTCAGCTCAGCGCTCGCGAGCTCGCTTGGGGTTCAATATCTCAAGCATGGCTGTACAGCGGCATGGCTTTTCGCATGGTTAGCGACCTGGGACTCCACCACAGCACGACTAAGATCGCTACGCTTGGACACCTGACTGCGGAGGATTTGGAGATCCGCCGACGCCTTTTCTGGAGCTGCTACTTCTGGGATAAAGCCATAAGCTTATTTCTTGGACGGATGCCCATTCTCCAGGAGTTGCCATTCGATCGGTGTCCGGAGCTTTGTCAGTACTGGCCTCGACATCTCATAAGCATCACACGCTAACCGTCTTTAGTGGATGATTCGGCAGAGAACGACCTATGGGCACCGTACTATGGTGATCAAATCAGTCCCGATAAGGCACCCCCAGCGGAATATCCGCCGATGAAGTCCCATTTGGTTTCAAGTTTTCAAAACGTATGCAAACTTGCAGTTATATTGAATGACATCATCCTTCAATTGTACTCCCGCCGCGGAAATATCAACATGGATGAAGCGTTAAACAGAATCCAAGAGAGACTCGACCACTGGAGAGAACAGTCGCCTGTGCATTTACGATATGATCCGGACAACTTACCCCAAGTTTGTCCCCCGCCTCATATTATCACGCAAAAGTGAGCCCTCGTCAGGCGCTTCCTTTGCAATGTCGCTAATCGTTTGACAGCTTATTGTATTATACTACCATTATTCTACTACATCGACCTTTTTATTACATTCCGACGCATCACGCCGCTTGCCGCGCAGCTTCAGATAGTATCGAGAAACTCTTGCTTCTCTTTGAGAGGAGCTTTGGATTCACTCGAATCACTTACCTTATGTCTTATTGCATCTACACCGGCGCGTCCGTCCTGATGCAAGATGTGAAGAAGGGAGACTTCGACGCCCAAGTCAAGATACAGACATTCCTTCAGGCTCTAAGGCAGGGGACTACAGCATGTCCGGTGGTACAGCGGAGCCTACATATCATCACTAACAGCCTCAGAGCCGATGCAACGAATGTGCCCGATGCTAGACTCGCGTGTGCGCCCACCGGGCAAACTCCGTTGGCTAGAAACTATCTGCCGGCTTTTCCGTATCCGGACATTGACGTGGGCTACAGCACTAACCTGAACCGCGGAAGTACGGATCTTGACGGTTTCACCTTATTAGATTGCTTTCCTGAAACTCAATATGGTGTTATGGACTCCGGGGGAGAATGCTTCTTCCCCTCAGCATAATCGTACTCCCAACAGAAATGAATAATTGATTTCATTATTCCATTATGTACATCCATAATATTGTTCAACGTCTGCTCATTCATCGTCATCCCACTGCCATAGCTTTCTTGGGTTCTCTACCCATATCTTGCGGGCCAATTGTTCTCCAGTCCCGCCTTCGACATCTCGACACCACTGTCTACATCTAGCTATGAATGCTGCATCATCAACCTGCCGGTATTCTTGCACATTCTTGCGATCTCCTCCCGGGTTGGCCTCCACGCCCCCGCTGTGCGGCCAGTCACTCGCCCAGACAACTCGGTCCGGTGCTGTCCGCAAGATGTCGGCCACGTACTCGTCGAGATCAGGAAGATTAGGAAAACGGTATGTGCCGCTCAGTTTGGTCCATACCTGCCCCGTGCGGAGCAAATCGATCAATTCAGCGTACCCCGGTTGCAGCCTGCCTGGCCCACGAGCCTGGTCCGGCGCCCCAATATGGTCGATGACAACTGGGAGGCCGATCTGCGGCACCAGGGGCGCAAACTCGACGATCTGCTCCAAGGCGATGTACACCTGGATGACCCATCCAAATGGCCGCACACGGTCAGCCGCTGCTAGCACTGCAGCCTTGTTCAGCGGATCACCCCTGGTGCGCATATTGAGGCGGATGCCACGTACGCCGGCGTCGTGTAGCTGTTGCAGCTCCTCATCCGAGACGGTGCTTGGGTCGATGCAAGCAACTGCGCGGCCTTTACCAAGGCGTGAAAGAGCATCCAGGATGGAGCTGTAGTCTGTATGATAGACGGAGAATGCAATCAGGCATGCATGCTGAATGCCCAGGCTGCGGTGAAAAGCTTGTAGACTAGACAACGGCGCTTTTTTAGGCCGGAAGGGATGTAGTGGGTGCAATGGGAATTGATCTTCGTCCACAATGTGAACGTGGCTATCCCAAGCCCCTGGGGGTGGAATATTGCCAACCTCGATAGATCCCATAGTATCAAAGATAGAGCAAGCCTTATTGATCGAATTTCGAATTCAAGCAGTCCAAGTGAACCTGTTCTCTTTATCGAATCTGGGTTTTCGAAGCTGGTCACTGCCATGCGTCTGGTATTTACCTCGTGATCTTATTTATTATAACCCGGTTCGATAATGATTCGATGTTAATCTGCGGGTCGCTTTCATCTGGATACGGATCCCGGAAATTCGCCCGGAAATTCGCCGGGAGAATGGCCGTGGACGTGACGTCGCAGGGAAGCTATCAGCGATCCGGGGAAAGCCCTAACTCCCCTCAAGCTCATACATTGTTCATTCTTAACACTCTTCCCCCACAAATATTCATTCTTGGCTCGTCTGGGGGATCGCCGGGGAAATAACCGTAGGACGGTAGCGGTCTGGAAGGGACGACGACTATCTATCGCATGAACGGCGATACCAACCCCCACCACATGCTAGGGCCATCGAACCCCTGCCATTGCTCATGTAGCGCATATATTAAGACGACTCTTCTGTCTGTGGGTCTGGGAAGAATGTTACATCCGCCCGCTTATCTCTTTCCCATATATAATTTGCGGTACGTGTGACCCAGCCCAGTTCTCTTATCATCTTCACCATGGGCAACAACGCCGACGGTGCACATGTCGAATCCCTCTCTACCGACGTTAGGGACATGCAGGGCGAAAAAGAGGTCCGCTACTCCGATGATCCGGGGTGGGCTACGGCCCAAAAGCGCTATCTGCGAAAACTTGACTGTATCATTCTTCCGACGATTTCAGCTTTGTATTTCTTCGAGTATCTTGATCGCGGAAATGTTGCTGTAAGAGGTGCTACGTTGAATGTTTCTTACATTAAACTGACTATGCATACTACAGAATGCAAAGCTTTATGGGTACAGTCAAGGCCACAATACAGTCCATCATGGTGTTGGTCCCGGTGATGGAAAGCTGTCCTCAACCCAGTGGCAATTAGTTGTCATGATATTTTATGTCGGTCTTGTACTATTCCAAGTACCTGGGTGTATCGGATACCGGGTGTTTCCTCCTTCCAAGGTTTGTTACCTGCTGATGAATGTCATGGATAGCGATCAGCTCACAAAAAGTAGTGGATTGCGTTTGGGGTCTGCGGATGGGCAGTGACTAGCATGCTGCAATGTACAGCGTTCAACCTAGCGGGTGCGCTGGTCTGCAGAATCTTCATCGGAGTATTCGAAGGCCTTTTCGGCACCGGTATCGTATACTACCTCTCGCTCTGGTACCACCGGACGGAGATGGGTATGCGCGTCTTCTGGTTCCTTGGACCTACAGCCGTCGCCGGGTCAGCATGGAAACACAATCCTTCCTGGGCTTTACGGAGGCTAACCGACTTCTAGTGCATTTGGTGGGCTTATCGCTTTCGGCATTGGCCATATTGACGGTTCCGTCCCGAACTGGAAATGGCTCTTCCTAATTGAAGCCCTTCCTTGCTTCTGTCTCGGTCTATTCTGCCTGTACTGGCTTCCCGATCGCCCTACGGCCAACTCACGCTTCTCTGGCCGGGACCAGGAAATTGCCGAGGCTCGCTACAAGAATGAGTCCTTTGATAAGGCAGGCAAAATCCAGAAAAAGCATGTCCTCTGGGTCTTCACCGACTGGAGGTTATACGTGCAGGCGGCCGTGTATCTCCCCACCGCCGCCTTGCTGTCGTCCATTTCTGGCTTCTTGCCCACTATTATCAGCAGTATGCGGCCCCCATGAAAAGTCTCCTTCGCAGAAGCGATCACATCTAACTCAGTCGCTAGACCTTGGTTACTCCAAGCCCGCCACCGCAAACCTAATGACCGTCCCGCCGTACGCCGTAGCCTTCGCCCTCATGCTCGCAACCTCCTACTCCTCCGACCGTTTCAAAGAACGTGGCATTCACATTACAATTCTCATGATAGTAGCCACAATAGCCTACGCCCTTCTGGCCACCCTCCCTGAGCACCAACTAAAGGGCAAGTACGCCTGTGTTTGCATCGCTGTCGCCTGTGTCTACGCAACCTACCCGCCATCCCACGCCTGGGCCGCCAACAATTTCGGTAACGAAACCAAACGGGCCATCGGCATGGGCTTTTACACAGCGCTGGGAAACTTGGGCAGTATTGCCGGCTCGTGGTTTTACCCCTCAAATGAAGGCCCCGAGTTCCGGAAGGGACATTTTATCTGCATGGGGCTTGCAATTGCGACGGCTGTCATTGCACTGGGAAACAGCTTGATTTTGAGGGCGCTTAATAACTATCGAGACCGGAAGTTTGGGAAGCCAGAGCCTGGCGTTGCGGTTGACGTTACTGAGTTGGCGGATAATAGTCCTATGTTTAGATTCATTACCTAGGGGAATGGGCTAGTTATTTATGATGGAGAATGATTGGAAACTATGAATAGCGCTATGTCATGATATATGATTTTTTAATCAAAGATGAACCAGCGTAAATGCCTACATATGTGACAACAGCGCCTGAACCACGTCCTCATATCCCTGCTGCATTACCAGTGCTACAGGAGTTTGGCCACTATGGTTAACGGGCAACAAATTTGCTCCGGCTTCAATAAGCACCTCAACAAGCTCCAACCTCCCCGGTTCACAGCATGGTGGATGAACGTACATATAATCTATCTCTAGCGAAGGTAGCTCGTCCTATAGCACATCAAAGATCTCTATTAGCACAACAACTACAGTTAAAACTTACTTCCTCACCTCCTCCATCTTAATCTGCACCCCAGACTGCAACCCCAAATAATGCAAGGCATCGACCTCCGCCTTGGTGAAAGGAATGCCTTCCGTCCTCCTCTTCTCCTCGACCTCTGCCTCCATCTCGCCACTAACATAGATCCTCTCAAAGCCCTCTGCCTTCTTGGCACCTCTAACAGTCCTCAGCAACGTATCCATACGCTCCCGGAACTCCTCCACTCCACCATCAAGAAACACGTCCGGCCGAAACACCAGAAACCAATGCCCAACCCCCTGCGGCCTCTCCATCTCCTTATACTGATCATTGACACCCCCCGCAAAGGCCGACCCACTCATCACGCCGGCAAAGATATCCATCATCATGGCCAGCCCACTCCCCTTGGGCCCCCCGATCGGCAAAACCACGCCCCCCTCCAACGCCGCCACCGGATCCGTCGTCGGCCGTCCCTGCGCATCCAGCGCATACCCCTCGGGGATCGACTCCCCGCGTCGCGCAGCCTTCCGCATCTTGCCCCGGGCTGCCACACAAGGCGACATATCCAGGACAAAGTCCCCCTCCGCGCCGCCAGGAACCCCCACCGCAAACGGCGACGTCCCCAGCAGCGCCTCCACACCGCCCCACGGCGGCATGGCCCGACTCGCATTCGTGTACGCGAAACAAGCGAGCCCCTGCTTGATCGCACGGAGCACGTACGTAGCCCCCATGCCGTAGTGGTTGCTGTTGCGGACGGCGACCATGCCCATCCCGTAGGTGCGTGCCATCTCGACACACTGGTCGATAGCCATGCTGCCGGCGACGAAGCCGAAGGTGTTTTTGGCGTCCAGGAGCGCCATGGTCGGTGTTTTGGTGTCGAATGATAGCTCCGGGGCGGGCGCGACCACTCCAGCTTGGAGACGTGCAATGTACCCTGGGAGACGGTTTATGCCGTGCGTGTCGACGCCGCGCAGGTCGGCGAGGGTTAGTGCTGTGGCGATGAGGTCGGCTCTGTCTGCGGGCACGCCATGAGAGGTGAGGATTGCTTTTGCTAGGGCTGTGGCCGAGGTTGGGGTGATGTTTATAGTTTGGGCGGTTGGGTCGGACATTTTTGATATTCGTGTTGTTTGGTTTGGTGGAGTGGATGGTGTGTAAGGGAATGATAGAATTGGGCGAGTGTTGTGCGGTGAGAATATTGTTCTGATTTTCTGGTAATATACTAATATTGTATATTATTATAATGTTAACTCAGGTAATTAAATATACATTGGGCGATTTATCTCCCGGGGAGTTTCCGCGGTATCTCCCCGAGCGCAATCTCGACAGGTTCAACATGGATTCTACCAACGAGAGTGAGGGAATTGTACTGTGGATCGACCTATTGCTACCATGACTGATTGTCTGATCGTCACCCCGGAAAACGTCCTGGGGAACTCGGCTACATCAATCCGAATCCTGGCGCTGTTGACATCGTCCCGAGTACCCTGTCCATGCAATGAATGACATATCCACCGACATAAGAACCATTGTAACCACACCCAGGCCTGAAAACAATAGGCAATTTATCTATCTCAGAGATACAAGTCCTAACATCCACAATAATCAATCTGATACCAACAAACACCACATCACACCAAAGCCCTAATTCCGTCCCGAAATGCCAGACCCAACAATCCAATCCCTCAAACCCTACACAACGTAAGCTCTCTCCCTCAATTGCATCAACAAGTACTAAAACAAAGAGAAAAATAAGATGCGACATAAGCGACGCCCTCCTCAAGCTCTCCCACCCAAACACCGGCTTCCTCCCAAACCTAACGATGTGGTCTCCCAGACGCCAAAAGGGACCCACTAAGATCGTGGGGCCGGCCTACACTGTCCAATACGTGCCGTTGGACGATCCAGCTCCGAAGTATGAGGGTCATTATGTACGTATCACTACTGATTACCTTGCGGTACAGAGATATATGCTGGTCGCCAGTATATGAGATTACAAGTGTGCTGATTCGAGGGGTATGAGTAGATTGACACTGTCCCTGAGGGGGCAGTAATCTTCGTCTCCTCGCCACGTAGCACGTCGAATGCCGTTTATGGGGGGCTGATGTCTACGAGGGCGAAGGCGAGGGGCGCCGTGGGGGTTGTGGTTGATGGCAGGTTTCGGGATTTGGGTGAACAGAGAGGGTTGGGGTTTCCGGTTTGTATTATCTTTTCTTTTCTTTTTTTTTACCTCGTTGCTTTTATGCACCGTTCGTTTTTGGATACTGTGGGTATCCATCTAGTCTACTATGATACTAACTAGGACAGGTCTTCGCGCGAGACGTAGGCACCGCACCACCCTACGGAAGTGTCAAAGTGAGTGCCGTGGACGTCCCCGTCACGGTCCAGGACGAGGCAGCGGGCAAAGAACTAGTGGTGAGTCCCGGTGATTACATCGTTGCGGACTTGAATGGCGTGGTTTGTTTGCCGAGGGAGTTGGCGGAGAAGGTGCTACCACTTATGGAGAGGCAGGTTGCTGCCGATGAGAAGATCTCGGCGGATATTAAGGAGGGGGTGAGTTTTGTTGAGGCGAGTAGGAAGCATCGGGGATAGTTTGTTTTAGTTCGGGGTCTCTGGGGAGATGTGTTGTTGATCGGTGGGTAGTTAGGGCAAGAATATGTGTGTGTACTTCTCATGTGTGAGTATAAGTTGCCATTGCCTTTAGCTACATAGTGGGCTATTAAGAGAATTCAGGGGATTAGGGCCAGTACAAGACTGTCCGGTACAAACGGTATCGTGCGGTACACATACTCGGTAAACCCCAGTATAATATAGGTATTTAGGTATATCCATATCAGGTGCTTTGTCTTGTTTTGTTAAATAGCCACATTATGCATCAAAATAACTTTCGGCGTCAATAAACCGAAATGAGCTTATCGATAAGGTTAAGGCCCGCGTCACACGAGCAACGAATCACAGCCGAGGAAAGTGTAAACGGAACCAATCAGCAAAGAATGTGGGTAAAGATAAGGTTGTCAGACCTTGAAAGAAACAACAACCCAAGTCAAACGGGACAAATGCAGATACTTAGATAATAGGTTTGTGCGAATAATCTTACGGTGGAGCTTCCCAGAAGATCGCAATGTTTGGTACGGAATAAATAGAAAAATTCCTTGACTACTTGATACTAGCGCTGGTGCCTGGACTGTGGCTGTGATCCCGCATTCGAGCCGCGCCGATTAAGTGAAACAAACTCAACCTCCCCTGCTGGTGCACTCGGTCATCTCGCCTCGCCCACTCACATTAATCCTCCCAATTATTTTCTCCAAGTCCAATGTCTGACGGCTTTGGTGAGCATGGGAGCACATGATAAGTACGTTATTCCGTGGCCGCACTTCCGATCTGTTTCTTGTTCCGGCCGCTCATTCCCCTGCTCTTGAATAGATTTATTGGCCTTGCACTGGCGGTGCTGGCTTCTTTGGCAATTGGTATGTGCGTTTTTATATTTCCTGTCTTCTTGTTTTTATTAAAAAATTACTGCCCGGCAGTACACTCTTGAATAGGCTGCTGACGGTCGCAATGGACAGGCTCAAGCTATGTCATCACCAAGAAGGTACGCCGCGGATCGCATCGGAAGGAACCAAATACCTGACACAGTCGACTAGGGCCTTGTACAAGCGGCGGAGAAATATGGCTTCAGTGGAGAGGGGTTTGAATATCTGCGAAGCCCGCTATGGTGGTGTGGGATGACCATCCGTAAGGGTATTAGTCGAGCTATCATCGCCAGAGTCTGACGAGTACAGTGATATCGGGAGAACTCATGAACACCGCCGCGTACGCTTTTGCCCCAGCAGTGCTGGTCACTCCGCTCGGGGCGCTCAGCGTACTTATCAGGTGAGCTCATATGGTTCTCAATCGTATTCCCCACGCTAATCAATCCCAGTGCCTTAATGGGCGCATACTTCCTCAACGAGAATATCCAAGTGCTTGGCAAGCTCGGCGCCGCCATCTGCCTGTTAGGATCGGTATTACTTGTCCTCCATGCACCCGGCGACAGGGACATCCAGACCATTGAGGAGATCCTGCACCTCGCCATTCAGCCAGGTTGGCTTGCCCATACTTACCCCCGGGTATGGACAAACATACTAATAGCGTCATTCAAGGCTTCCTCATCTACTGTACCCTCGTCACCGTTTTCGCCAGCTACATGATCTACAAAGTCGCCCCGCGACTGGGCCGAACGAATCCGCTTGTCTATCTATCGATCTGCTCCACCGTGGGATCCATATCCGTGATGTCTGTCAAGGCCTTCGGAATCGCCATCAAGCTCACCTTCGCCGGCGACAACCAGTTCACCCACGCATCCACCTACGTCTTCTCCCTGGTCCTGGTAGTCACCACACTAACCCAGATGAACTACCTCAACAAAGCAATGGGCGAATTCCCCGCGTCGCTGTAAGTATTCAGCATCCACCAACATATTACGCCTACTCAAAGTATATATATACATATACTAATACATACCACAGAGTAAACGCAATGTACTACGTCGGCTTCACAACCTGCACCCTCACCGCCTCCATCATCTTCTACCAGGGCCTGAACACCAGCGACTGGACCAGCATCACCTCCATGATGTGCGGCTTCCTCCTCAACTTCATCGGAATCTCCCTCTTGACCTTGTCCAAAACCGGGCAGGAGGCCCGCCCGGAGTCCGTCCGAGCCCTGAGCTTGCGGTCCTTCGACTTGTCCCATGGCCGGTACGATCATGTGCGGACCAGCAGCGTGGACGTTCCCCACGCCCTGGAGAGGAGGTCGTCTGGCCTGGATGCCGCGGAGCGACAATAGTGGTGGTAGACTAGTTTACTAGCATAGGACTAGTTCTTTTTATTTGTTTGTTTGTTTCCTTTGTACTCCCCAGATCGAGTCGGACGTTCAGTGCTGAATCGACCACCACGCTGAGTTTAGCGGGAAGGTCGGAGTTAGTTGCTTCGGGCTTTTTGCAGGAATTCGATGGGCCACTGGTGGGTCTGTCGGGCGTGTTTGAAAATATACCCTAGATATAAAATTTATATGTCCCTGTAGATGGGACATGATATGTATGTATGAAATCAGAGAGATTGTAGAATGGTCTTCAATTTGGAAGTAGAGTGTTTTCATAGTAGCGTACCAGCTATGATTAATTACTATCCTTGGACTGTTAAAGCAGTAGTGTCCAAGGCCGTTGGTGCATCAAGTGCTATAAGTTGTCTGGATAAATGTTTGGGTTTGTGTTGGTTGCTAAGTTTGTACCATATATATACCTGAAATCATTTATGGTATATATATCTCGGGTGTATATAGTTTGGAAGTGGTCCGTGTCGACACGGTTTACAAGCAAGAGGATGGCAAAGATCTATGCGCTCCTTTGAGGGAAATTGATCCCACAGGCCTCGACATGGCAGCTATACAACCCTACAACGACTTTCTCTCCAACGCTAGATGACGTGTTCCTATCCTCTGTACAGGATTTTTGTATGTGTGATTTGGTTTATAAGTTTAAAAATAGAGAAACTCTTCAACAATATCCGATGTGGTGTAATGGCTAACATCGCTGTCTCTCACACAGCAGCTCGGGGTTCGATTCCCCGCATCGGAATTACTTTTTGATTTCCTCAAGTCGTACTTGATTATAGATAATCATTCTCTATCTTGTCCCGACTTGCCCTTATCTTTCTTTTTGAATGTCTGGTGGGTCACTGAAGGCTGCCCTTCTACCGTATATAGATATAGACATAGACATCAAGACCAGTTCATTCCAACCCAACGCCTTCACTAAGCAAACGAAACGAAACCCATAATAACAGCCATGCAGATAAGTAAAAAGTAACATGATAATACAGCCCAAGGATGTATCAAGCCCTCATTAACCCCCCATCTACCACTCCTATGTCACAACCACTCCCAGAGCCATCCCAGACCTAAGCAGAAGCCTCCGCCCTCTTCATACCCTCCTTAACCTCCTCCATCAACCCCAGCAGCTCCTTCGCGCCGTCGCCATTCCGCGGCTCAAACTCCAACCCCTTATCAATAGCCACCTGCGCCTCATCCCAGCGGCCCATCTCCGCCAAGCACCTCCCAGCCCTCCACCACGCCTTCACATTGCCCATGGGCTTGCTCTCAACGCTACACTTCGCGTCCACCAGACCCTCCGGCCACGCCTGCTGCGCCATGTACGCCTGCGCGCGGTTCGCATACAGGCCCGCCAGCTCCTCGCGCGCCAGAGTCATCGGCTCCCAGCCGGGCCGCGCGATCCCCATCTCGATGGCGTATGTGTACAGGCGCACGGCCTCGGCGTGGTTGTCCTTGCGGTAGGCGGCATTGGCGCTGTCGCGGAGCTTGGTGATCTGGGCGCTGCGCTTGGGGTTAATGGGCAGCGGGGGCGGGGGGATGTTGGGCGGGTCGAGCGAGATCAGCCCGCGGTGCAGGGCGTTTAGCTCGGTGAGCTCGGTGGTTACTGTGTTTGCGGAGGCTGGGGTTGTGGTCTGCGAGGAGAGGTTGATGGCTTTGGAGGTCGGGTCTAGGACAACCGGGTATTGGTTGTATATGTCGATGCTGTCGGCCATTTTGGGGGTTTTGGAGGTGTGATGGTATTGGGTTGTTTTTGGGGGTTGAGTTGGGTATGCTTTTGGATGGTGGTTGCTCTGGTGGTTCTTGGTCTGGTGGATAGGTTAGTTTGGGTGGTGGATGTAGGGATTGGGGGGTTTACCTGAGGGGTTTCCTTGTGTAGTCGGTATTAGAAGGTAGAAAGGATTGTATTGTAGGACCTATACAGTCTTGAGGTCAGGCTGTATGGATTGTTCACAGTATGGTCCAGGACGCAAGTTGTCCAGAACAGTAGCGTTGATACAAAAGGCGGTGAGGATCTGCCGGCATTTTGCCATCTGTCCACAGGGTTGTGGATGCTTATTGGTTGTTACGGCCAGGCACCGTGTAGCGTCGAGGTGAAACAATAGTCTAGTTCATAATAAGTGGTTATACTAGCTAAATTATAAATCAAACAGGCTGCCCCCCAAAGTGGCTCGGAATTTCAACAAAGCAGAATGTCGTCAGAATCATCAGTGAACATGCGACCTGCCCGGGTCTCAATTCTAATCAATCACAGCATACAATCATCGCCCGGACACAGAATCAATCATATGCAGAACATCTGTATCAAAACACTTCCAGAATAAAACACAATACAGCACGGGTATGCGCCGCAACACCGCTCCATGGTTATTTGAGGTACAAAGTCGAGAGTTTTTGCGAGGGGGATAGATTAGCGTCCGTAGCCGCTCACACTGGAGCCCATGCCCCATTCCGACGGCGGGGCGTATTCCGAGTTCGGTGCGTAGTGTTGCCCATGTGCACCGCCGTAGCTGGTGGCGGTGTTGACCGTGTTGTAGTCATGAAGGACGCTTCCTCCGGCGTTGGAAGCCGTGGGGTCGTAGGCGCCGTGCATCGCGGTGCGTCCGTTCGGGTTTCCGAATTCATCTGCCTCGCTCTGGTGCAGGAGGGCGTAGTCCTCATCGCGGTCGGAACGGACGGAAGAGCCCATTCCGCCGGCTCGTCCAGACCGGAAATCATCCTCTTCCTCGAAATCATGGGCGGGGTTCGACGAGAAGGCGGCCTGGCTCTGCGCCGCGAAAGTAGGGTCGGACACAGCATCTGGCAGGGTTCCGGTCCGGCGGAAGTGCATCACGTTTCGGAAGGACATAAAAGCGGTCGCAATGAACAGCAAACTGTAGACATCTTAGGTTAGCAACACCCCAAGCTTGTTCACCTCGGAATCTGAGACGTACAAGACGACCACCCCCATGATGCAAGTAGCCGTGCTGATGTTGCATTTGCTGGCACTGCCATACTTCCAGTTGTCGCATCCAGTCTTCTTGTCAGTGTCTTTGTCCTTGTCCTCCTGCTTGCTGTCCTTGCCCTCGGACTTTCCCTGCGCGACATAGCTGGCAACGCAAACCCACGCAGTAAACCATAGCACGGCATACAGGCAGTCGACCGTCGCAAAGGCATAGACATTTCCGAAACGGCGTGCGCGCGGCCACATAGGCACTGCGACGAGATAGATAAGACCGGGGATGCTGAACCAGCACTATCAAAATGCTGTCAGTATGACGTGTCGTCAGCTCGCGTGGAACAGAGTTGATAAGCATACCAAAGCCCAGAACCAGGCTGATCGACCATCGATACCGTCACCTTTGGTGAACACGGCAATGGTACAAGCCCATGCTAAGAAGATGATGAATCCTTGAACTCCATGGATGATGTTTTTCGTCCGCCCAGGATTGATCGAGGGTCGTGCTAGTTTCATGATCGCGGAATGTGAGGGGATACGAAGGGTGGTGCCTGACAAAGAAGAGGGCTTCCTTCACGAGGAAACCAGCTCAGAGATCGTTGACGGGATGAAGCTTGTATAGTTTCTCTGAAACTGACCGCAGGCCGTAGAATGCAAGTTGGAATATAATGGTTGGATAAAAAAAAGAAAAAAACGAAAAAACGGGACCGGGTCGTTAACAGCGTTAGAAAGTGGTGGAATGCAATTGTTTATGCGAAGGCTGTAAAACGGACGACGAGGGCAATCAACGGGGCAACCCGATCGATGCCGCGCGGACGCTAAAATTCACGGATGGAGACTCGGAGGCTTTGCCAACACAGCCGATGTGGAAAAGTGGCTTGCAACTGTCCCAACTGCTGAATGATTCAAATGGTCTCATACAACTACAACCTGATATTGAGCGAACAATATTAGAAGAATGAACGAAATGTCGCTCGATGCAAGGCACATCATCAACCTTGAAATGCTGAGGAAGTCATGCTTTTACCGTACATCCATACGCGGTATGGTAAACCGACCTTACCATTTCCAGTCTAGTGGCCCTAATGGCCACAGAAATAGAAGCAGAGGTGCATTAAATTATGAACACTATTGAACCCAATCGCTTGTCATGTTATTACAACCCAGAAAGAATACCTTTGTCATTAACTCAGAACTAGAACTGGACGGTGGGCCTGGACTGGAAAGATACGTCATTGACCTACGCAGTATATCCGTCTTTAGTTGGGCACCATTGAGGGTCCTAATGCTTTTGAATTGTCTAGGCAACTATTAAGAAAGCCACCCAATTGAGCTCCGTGTACTCCGTATGGTTCTTGGCGTCGAGTTCTCCGTATCTCATTTTCATTATGTAGTGGCAGTGCACGGCAGTCCCGTCACAGCCCCAGAGAATATCCACCCCGTAGAAGGCAGCCATATAAATCTAGACTGTTGGATATGTAATAACAATGCGATTTGGGATCGCCAAGGCATATACGAAGTATATCACCACCAATTTGAACTAGTGTGATTGTGATATATGGAGGAACTCTGGAGATGGAAAAGCAACCGCAACCCCGCAAAGTCAACAAATATAGCAATTTCCACCACCATACGGAATACTAATAAACTCTCTTAACTTAGGATTATCCTTCTCTAGAGTGTACTGCGCTGTATAAACGCCTAGAACTAATTGAGCTCGAACGTATGGAGTATTACTATCTCAATCGACCATAACACGAGGTGTAAACAGCTCAATAGAATTACAGCCTCGCCTGTACGGGATGAGGCTGGCGTCGCGATTCGCACCCAGGGTGTGTTGATCAATCACACGAGGCTAGCGCTGAGATGAAATATTTCCTCATTATTATTCTTCGTGTCTACCATTAGCACACCTGGGCTTCACTGAGCAGCAAACCGAAAATGCTGGGTAAACTGCGCGAAAAGCTTTGCTGTGGTTGCAAAGAAGGAAGCGATGATACCGAAGAAAATTCCCGCCCTGCCGATTTGTCTCAAAAGGGTAAGGATAGGGTTGTGTCCGTAGGTGGTCATTCTTGTGAGGCCGCGAAGAAAGTGAGTGTCGACCGACCGGCCAATGACGCGAAGCATGTAAATGAGGAATCAACCGAAAGATACTCGAAGACTCAAAACCCCGATCAGCGAGACGAAGTCAAGTGCCTGGGAGATCCTGAGCACGATGGGGTCGGCGCCGACGTGTCTCCTATTAGCAGGCAACATTCAAGGAGAGGCAGTCGGGAAAAGGACAGAAAAGAGGACCCAGAGAGTGGACCAGGGCCCTTGGATGAACAGGACAATGGCCACAAACAAGACAAAGCTGAGATCCCTAAATGCCCTGTGTCTGAGACGACGCCTGCAGATGACGAAGCGATCGATAGAAGCGATAAACCCGGTAATGCAGACCTTTGGCAGAGGGCCTTTGACGAACTGAATGCGGCTTTAAAGAGACAGCTGCATGAAGATGAAGCTAAGTCCCCGGAAAATACAATTAAAGAGGTCATCGATAAAACGAGAGAGAACTTCGAAGAATATCAAAATGGAGGACTGAAGTTCAAGAAGCACAATGGAGAAGAAGTCAATGTTCGCGATGTGGCTAAAAAGATTCTTAACTCGGCTATTCATTATTCGGAGATTATCAAAGGGATAGCAGCATTTGACCCTACTAACCATGGTAAGTAGTTATAAATGCATCTTAAAGGGACGCATATTGATTAATATCCAGCTTCAAGCGCGTGGACAATCGTCTCGCTTGGATTGATGGTAAGAAGGCTTGCTTTGGTTTGCCACTATATCAAGCTCAACTTTAATTAGATGGCCAAGAACTCTGTGGATCAAAGAGAAGCTGCTTTCAAATCATCTGAATTCCTTGCTGATATACTGACCCGATACCTTATACTCGACAAGCATTGTCGCAACAAGGAGCTAGCAAGCTCTGATGGGCTCGATAATGCCATTGTGCAAGTATACAAAGCCATTCTCGAATACACAGCAGAGGTGAAAAAGCGACAGAAAGCAAGCGCTTTGAGTATGTGCCCGGAGTTACTTCTCCTGGTAGTCATTTATACTAATAAGCGGTAGATCGCATAGGGAACAGTATCTTTCCAGTTTCCGACACAGAATTGAACTATCTCCAGTCTGCTGTGAAGGATCAGGACAATAAAGTCAGCGATTGGAGCCAAATCAACAATTACATCTGTGAGCTATGCAGCCGGGCCTCTCCATTCCCCTGGCTAATACTTCAAAGGCCAAAGTACCAAAGGGGACGAAATACTCGCCAGCATTGAGAAGGTCTATCAGAATACCGAGACAATCAAGGTCAAAGTCAATTGTACGATCCACCATTATCTTACCCAAGCATCTAAACTGATTATTTCAGTGGACGAACGAGATAGAATTCTTCGGTGGTTGTCCGACATACAGTATTCTCATACTCAGAATGATCACCAAAGGGTTCGAACACACAAAACTGGCGATTGGCTTTTGAGATCAGATGAATATAGAGAATGCAAGGCTACACCAGGCAAATTTCTGTGGCTATATGGACCTGGTAAGAACCAATTCATCGGTCCCGATAATAGTCTCTCACTGAATAAGCACAGCTGGCTGCGGAAAATCGATTCTTTGGTATGTAGCCCACGATAGCAAAGACCAACAACTAATTAATCCAGCTCGACCATCATTCGAGATATTGCAGAAGATCACCGCAACGGGTTATCCTACTGGTACTTTCAATTCTCTCGTAACGAAACACAAAACGTGAAAAACATGACTAGAAGCATTATTCGACAACTGGCACCTGAAGACCTTCCAAGATCACTTGTCAGTCTATGGAAAGAATATGATCGTCAGAATCGTGACCCAGACCAAGAAGAGTTCTTAACGGTCCTCGATGATGTTATTAACAGTCATACGAAAGATCATCTATTTCTTATTTTTGACGCACTCGATGAATGCCCTGATAACGAGGTTCATGAGAGAAATTTACTGTTTCAGGTTCTGAAAGGTCTCATTGACAAGCACGGGAAAAAGCTCCATCTTCTGGCAACAAGTCGATTTGAAGAAAATATTCGTTGCCGTCTAGAGGGTAGTTTGAAAATAGATCTTGAGGACCGAATGAATGATGATGTCGAGGCTTTTGTCCGCGATGTACTCGATCATGGAAAGCTGAGCAGATGGAAAAAAGAAAAGGGGGTCCATGATCAAATTTTGGCAAAGCTATTGGACACAAAGGAACCAAGGTATTGTCATGCAGTCTTTTATTTTCAGCAAAATATGCTGCTAACATCTTCCCTTTGCCAGACGTTTTCGGTGGGCTGACCTACAAATCAAACGGCTCGAAAAATGCAAAAAAAGGAATCAAATCACGAAATCACTTGAAACGATTCCAAAAACCCTGGAAGAAACATACCAAAGAATCCTTCAAGACATTCCTGAAGATGAAAAAGAGGATGCGCGCTCAATACTCACATGGCTTAGTTTCTCTCTTGTACCACTCGAACTAGAGACAGTTGCAGCAGTGGTGGGCTTTCCACATCCTGAGAGTGTTGTTGAAACTTGCACTACCTATTTGGTGACTGTTAGCCCATCAAATGGTACTATCAAACTCGCCCATTTTTCAGTAAAGGAATTCTTGGTTGTCTCAGTTCCTAAGGATTGGTATCAGTTAACTATAATTGGTGGTCATATGGACATAGCTAATCGTGCCCTTGACGACCTGCTTGACCAAACCAAGCCTCTGACCGAAGAGTCTGCACATGGTCTGCCGCTATTGACGTATGCCGCCAAGTATTGGGGCAGCCATCTTTCAGAGCTTAGTGACCCTGATGCCAAATTACTGGAGCTGGAGGAAAAGATATACCGCCTGTTTGAAGAGCACGCAGTCTACTTGAACTGGCAGTGTGTGGCTCAAGATAACTTTGAGATGAGTTTCTGGAATATATCCGATGACGTTATTGAGCAGCCCATCTGGTTGGCCTGTGAGATGGGAATACAGAGTGTTGTCGCAAGGCTCCTCTCACAGGGGGCTAACCCTTGTCCAGAACCACGTTACCCAGGACTCGCAAACATATTTCAAATGACTGCTTCGCGTGGTCATGCTGCTATCGTAAAGCAGCTGTTGGAGAACTTCGAGATTTCAGTGGAATTAGCTTCGGGTATTGTGGAGTCTATTGATCTCGATAAGGCCTCGGAAGAAGAAGTTGACGTCCTTCTGAACATGCTTTTGGGCGCTGAAGTCTTATATGACAAGCCTGCAGATGGATGTGTTCTTTTGAATGAAGATTTTGTTGCAGCCGCAGCGGCGAACCGGGTGTCAGGCCATCGGCTCATGTGTCTTCTTTTGGATAGGCAAGACAACCTCGAGGTTCCTGTTACCGAGAGAGTTCTCGAAGAAGTGGCACTCAATCCCAGGTGCGGTGAAAAAATAATGCGAATACTTTTGGACAGGAGACAAAAAGACATCCAAATCACTGAAGACCTAATGGAATGGATAGCTGACATGTCTGATTTTACTCCTGGTATATCGACTCTGGTTCTTCAATATTTGGGCGCCACGGTTCCTTTGAATCAAAACATCATCGAATCCTTTGTGCGAAGGGCACCAGGGGAGGTGGTGGAATTGCTTTTACAGATCCGCGGTGATGAAATTCAAATCACAGAAGAGTTATTAGTAGCAGCAGCAACTCGTTACCACGATGATACAGTTTTTCCCTGGCTATGGAAAAGAGTGCCTGATACTAGATTTACCACGAGAAGTTTGCAGCGGATCGCATCTGAGTGCCATGGCTTGGAATGGATGGAATTAATCCTAGCGGAATATCCTCAAGGATATTTTCTTGCACAGAAAACAATCCACGGGGTAGCAAAGTCTCGACATGGCCTTCCCCTGATGCGAATGCTTTTAGACAAACGAAAGGCCGGACTGGTTGGTTTTGATGTTTCAGAGGCAACGATGATGGCAGCTACTGAAAACGGGGACTGCTCACGAGAGATGATGGAACTGATCATCAACGCGAACTCGGAAATTTTAATCAACGAGCAGATTTTATGCTCGACAGTAGTTTGGGGAAGACTATCTGCCTTGGATTATTTGCTTGAACTTGATACAAATCTGCAGATCACAGAGCAAGTATTGATATCAGCAGCAGGCACTTGTGAGAACAGCGAAAAAATTCTTGAATTAATTTTCAACAAATTCCCAGATGCTCCAGTGACAGACCGTGTCTTTGAGGCAGCTGGGGGGTCCCTTGAGGAGATCTTGTCAGTCTGGCTGAAACGAGGTCGTCATGTACAGGATTTCCAAGTGATCGGGAGGCTTCTGGAGCAGGATATCTTGAGCTTACAGGTACTGGCGAAACTGCTCAAGGACGGACTAGTTGAAATTGATGACAATCTGGTGGATGCAATGGGGATCCAGGATGCTCTGATTGTGGCCCTTCACGGGCGCCATGCGATGGAAAAGCTGTTGGATTTACGAGGAAAAGATATCACGGTCACTGAAGAGGTTATATTGGAGGCTATGGATGATTTCTACGTGGATGATAAAGCCTTCAAAATGTTGACCGATCGGTTGGGACCAGCAGTACTCCTTACAGAGAATATTTTGGAAACGGCCTTCCTGAACGGTCAATCTAGACTCTTGGATTTCTTGCTGAAGGAACGAGATTGGAATTTCCAAAAGGTTTGGGATGCGATTTGGCGAAATGACGAACTCTCAATCCCGTGGATTGTGAGAGGTGCGAAGACTCTTCTGAAATATGGAGAATTTGATGTTTCACAGACCCTGCTGGAGTTCCTTCCACTAAAATCTTCCCCCAGAGATGCGGACTTTATTGACTTGGCCAATTTTTGTGCCGGACGCGACATATCGGCACCTGCTACTGAAATGCTCTCAGCGGAAGTATTTAAACAAAGTGATAAGTGGAGCATCGGGGAATTTATCAATCGACTGGGTTCGGCGGTACCGATGACAGAGAAGGTTTGGGATGCGCTTTGGCGAGGACCTTGCTCTTTTAAGGACAAAGTGAGAATTTCAAATATTCTTCTGCAAAATGGAGATTTCGATATTTCACAAACTCTACTAAAGTTTCTTCCACTTCAAGAAGAACAAGGGGGCTTTAGCGGTGAGGAAATTGATGAGTTGGTTGACCTGTGCATTGGGCAAGACATATCAACTCCTGCTACCAAAATGCTCTCAGAGATACTATTTGAAAATGGCGCAGCGCATACCATCAAAAGATTCATCTACCACAGACCCACGTTCCAACTCACGGATGACCTTATTCGGCGGGCAGAATGGAATAAACGGGCATACAAGACGGTTTTGATGCCTTTACTCGAAAAGAGCCGCGGATCAGAATATCAAGGTTGCTGAAATCACGGCAGGAGCAGAAGAAGCCTAGCTCACGGTGATTCTGAACTGTTGATCAATACCAAGTCTGTCTACCAAGTTGAATTGGTTTTAGTTCAAGCATAGCTATTGGAATGAGTCTATTATGTATGTCATATCGAACTAGGAACAAAGCAATATAAGCCTTCTTATACTAGAGTGTGCCAGCACTGACTTCCATGGAAAGGTTAAACTAACCTCAACCTTAATAGATAGGCAAGGTTATGCAAATAGCTAATAACAAAGGGGGTTATAAGGCTATCGGGCATATTTACTTACAGAGAGCAGGTGATATAATGTATTCCCCGTTTTTCTAGGAACAGTATGGGCGTGTCATCAAGGCTGGACCAGTCGTCCAGCAAGAAGTGGGATATAACACTGCTCCGCCTCGTCCTCCTGCATTTTCCTTTTTCTTTCTCCTCTTTTTCTACTTCTTCATTGTTATCTCCTGCTATGCTCCCATGGTCCATGGACTTCTAGATTCTCCCTGTAAAAGGTATCATGGTGCGCTTTGTTGGGAAAGTCTTGGTGGATTGGAGCAGGTGAGAGGGTGACGTTCCTCAACAATTGGAGACCGCATTCAACTGCAGGAGATCCTTTGACTGTTCTGTTCTGTTCTGTTCTTTTTTTCATTTTTTATTTTTTTTTAAATCTATCTCTCCATAACTTCCTCGAGGTAGACCAACGAAACAATCGTAACGAACTTAAGGTAATTGGTACAACTATAGCCAGTCGGCTAATCCACATGCCACTCATGTCAGATGAAAGTCGTTCGAGTATCATCAAGGCGATGAAGTTATATAGTTGGGACGAATGCAAGTGCTACTCAAATCTCGAACGGTATCCGTACCCCTTTCTAACTTTGACATCTTAATTCTCCACCCATTCCTCCATCTGGTCGTCCGAATCAGGCGCCACCTACTAGTCGTCTGAAATCCCCAACAAGGCAAAAGAACACATTCTCTAGGTTCGATAGGCTTTTACCAAGAATTTACATCATCAATACGAGGAGTGAGGCTTTGCTCCCTGTGCACGGAGTAAACGGTCCATCTGATTTAAAACTGGAGCTCATCTAGACTGATAAGAGGTTTGCTCCACTTGGACTTCCCCGGGAGTGTTTTCAAAATCAAACGCATAAAAGATGGCAGCGAGGAGCCTTGTCAGCCAAGGCTGTGCGATGTCATATAGATAAACACATTAAAATTCGTCAAGCTATTGTCTCGTTAGTACTATAGTGGAGGTATATCTTGAATGAGGTCAGACGTACCACGGACGAGGTGTCAGCCAGTTTCCGGGTAAGGTACTTGCCGGACTGGCTGATACCTGTCTTCGCTGCCTCCCTTGATGCATTGCTAGACTTGGTGATTGCTGCAGTCACGGCAGGCGCAGGGCTCACAGGAACGAAATCCAGAAGCCTGGCTTCTTCTTCTGCGGTCGATCTTAGATGTCCCAAGAGCTCATTTTGCTTCTACGGCAGGTTAACGATGAAAGACGACTAGAAGTGATATTCTTACCTCATTGACAGTTTTCTTCACATCTGCAAGTGTGCTTTGGGTGTAGTCATTGACTTCCTTGTTTCTCTTGTCTACGATCTAAAGACTCATGTCAGCGGCATCCTTTCAGCCCTTGGTTCAACTCCAGCCCATCCAAAAGCGGGAGAAGCAAAACTGGGATGAACGAGTGTGCTTACCTTCTGTACCTCGTCGGGGCTTCCGGCATTATACTCTGTCTGCAATAAATTGACCATATCGAGCCCCTTCATGATAAACTTGTCATGGACGTTAGTGTACAGGTCGGCAATTTCATGGAACAATTCAAAGTAAGCCTTCAGATTGAGTGCAGCGGAGAAAATGGCCTGGTTCAGCAATAGTTCTGGTCAGTAGTCATTGGAAACGCTTGGGTGGGGGACATTAATATTCTGACCTGTTGCTGGTAATCTGCAAAGGAGATGTTGGCAATAGAAGATGCCTTATCTACCCTGTATCCCTTTTGATTTCGGAGATGAAGTCCTTGACCATTTTTGCCTCGACAAACGCGACAAGAGTCTTGATGGCGGTGAAAAAGGACCTCAGCTTCGTGATCTGGGTCTTGAGTTGGGACAAAATATCCATAGCTTTGATGAGGACTTTTTTGATTTCGGTCTAAACGCGGCACGTGAATTAGCAAGCAGATAGGTTTAGGGAAAAGAAAGAGAATGAGAATGGTAGAGAAGAGCAGAGATGGGGAAGAGATGAATGAAAGAGAGGCAGCTATACCAAGTCTATTTTGGTGACATCCAGCCCTGCGATCTCGGCGTGCAGATCAGCAAGCTTCAACTGCACATCCACTAACTTGTTGCTGGACTCTTTATAGTTGGCGGTCACTGTCTCCAGAACATGTGAGGTTTTTTCTAGCTTGGTCGTGGCAGCGTCGATGATCTGCTGCCGGAAGGCACCTCTTTGATCGGTGGGCGAACTGGTTGCCTCGGAGGGTTTAATGGATGGAGCCTGAGAAAACAAAAAAATGGTCCGTTAGGCAGGCTGAAGACAAAGAATGGGGAGACGAGGAAAAAGTACCAACGAAGGCGTGCTGAGATGCTTCGAATCAGTGTCCAGTTCGTGTGCTTTGGCGGCGCTCGCTCGCATGGTGCGCTGCCACTCCTGGACTGTCGTGGACTTTGCGTCTGGAAGCGACGAACCATTGATAGCTTTGTTATCCGTGATGGCCTTGCTGAGTGCGGTAGTGACCTAAATGCGTGCGAGATTCGGTTATATCAGCTCTGGGGTTCGCCGGCCACCCTGCCCGAGGATAGAGAGGAGAAAAAAGAGAGTGAAGGAGCTCACCGTCTTGACGTCCTGGAAGACCTTTTGGAGGTCCACCGAGGGCGGATCTGATGACGGTTTGAAGTCGGTTTCCGCCGTGCTCATCATGTCCACCATGACGTCCAAGCCTTTTTTCTGCTTTTCGGAGTCCTGGGACTGAAGGAGATCCCAGTCGACGCCTTTATCCTTGCCACCAGTCACAAAGGACACTATGGTGGTAATATAGACAGAGACATGACCGATGATGTTGTATGCAGGGTCTTGGGGATAGGGTGGTAGGGCGTTGGGAACTGGCGAAGGGGCGCTCTTGGCTGCAGGGACGTTAGAATGGTCTGCTTTGCCATCTCCCACCGAGCCCCCCTTGGCACCGCCGTTATCGCCCTTGAAAATATTCACGGCATCATTGATCTTGGCCGTCGTGCTGTACTTTTCAATGAGGGCAGGCACGGCCTTGTCAATGGCGCTCGTGAGCGAGTGACCCAGCTCGCTGACGAGCTGCTGGCCAACCAGCTCCCACCCTGAAGGAAACTGGTCTACCGCCTGTTTATAGGCTTTGGTAGCCGTGTCCAACGTTTTACTGAGTTCATCCACGGTCTTTTGTGCGGTGGCTTCGGCTTTTTCACTGCCGGTCAATTTGGCCTTGGCCGCGGCCAGGTGAGACTGGTTGGCGGCCAGCTTTTCACTGGCATCGTGGGATGTTTGGACGACGCAGAGGTGGAGTTCACACACCACATCCAGCCAGTGCTGGAAAGCAGCCTCCATCTCCTCTGCGCTCTGTTCACACTCGTGGGCGTCGTCAGATAGATCGCGGATCGCTGGCATCAGTTCCCTCTGAGCCCGAGACGCATCCCCCAGAATCTGGACGATTGTTCTGACCTGCAAACGGTGAGCTGGCAAACCACACGGAATAGCGTCATTTATTGATTAGGGAGATCCAACTATACCTTGTCTTTGATATCCCCGCTGTAAAGCGAGATGGTGTCGAAGCTGCCTCGTGCCGTCACAAAGGCCTTGCTCCCCATATCGGCGCAGTGCACTAGACAAGCATTCAACGCCGTATTCGAGCCGAAGTTTCTGTGTCAGACCAGGCTGAAGTCAACTACTACAGACGAAAGACTAAGCAGGCTCATGGATCACTCACGGCAGAAACTTAAAGCCACCCTCTTTGGGAATAATGGTGATCCGAGTAGCATCGGGGATGGTGGCGGCGACAAACAGGTTGCCCATCAACGAAATGGCAACGGGGGCGGCCGAGAGAATATCACCCCAGCTGAAGCTGGGCTGGAACAGTGACCTGGCCTTGACATGCTTGACAAACTTGTCGACGGAGGTCTGGCGGACTTTCTGCAGCTCTGCAATCTTTTGGAGGGCCTTCTCTTGCTCCTCAGGGGAAAGTGCATCAGCTGTGGGGTGTGCCATAGTGGTCGTTTCTTCAAGGAAGAGATTGTTAAGAAGATAGTGAGGAATGCGGATTGAGCAGGATGGTTGTCTTCTTACATATATAGTCGCCATCCATTGTGGTACTCCACACATGCATATGACACCACTATACATTGGGAAAGAGCATGGCCGTGCGAATATCTGCTACGTAAACCAGCTTGTAACAATACAGATCCACAAATGCTATTCTGTTCCACATTCAGCTTGGGACATCCAGGATCACTGATCATCATGGCCCATAGCCCATGGTAATCCGCAGTCATGCGGAGACATCACTGTGCTGGCTGAGAGTTGTGGAGTGAGAGATTCAGTCAAACTGGCCTCGCCCGTGCCCGAAGCCCATACTTCGAGATATGATACAGCAATATGACATACCAGATGCTTGCCAGCCTGCGAACAGCGAAGTTGATCGACAGGCGTTGCAGGGTGGGGGTTCAATATGATGGAGAAACGAACGAATTAATCGTCATATCAACTGTTTCTATGTGACAGCTGAAATCATTGGGTTGCATTACTTGTGTCTCGACCAACCGGTTCAGATGAGGCGCCCAGTTAGTGAAGTTCTCTTGAGACGTCCATCTCTACCACAATGGCTGAGAGCTGAGGCAGTTCAGCTCGTGCGACATTAGGCGCTAGATGGATCTACACACTCTGCAAGCAATGCCTTATGAGGAAGGATCGCTGATTGTGTCGATTCGATTGGCTATGGGCTCTGATTCGGGCCTGATGTGTCATGCTGCAGAT